AGTTAAACTAGCCAGTGTGGATTTCAATGATTAACAACCAAAGAATTTTATCTGATTTAGTCAATCACATTGATATTCATCTCATACTGTGAGACAGACCTTCGTGAATCACTGAGTATTTCTGAAAGATCTCCTCCTTCTTTATCAGCCTACAGCATCCAGGATCTTTATCTTACTTTTTAAAAAATTATTTAGACTTTAGATCTCCCAGTAAGTATTCCACAAATATAGGCAGCGAACATCTTCCAGGATTTCATCTTGCAAGAAATAGAACACCTGAAGTTAAGTGCCAAATCTATTTGCTTGCATCAATTCTATACTGTTATAAATCTGGATATCACTTTATATAGTTCTGTATATTGTTTAAATACATACATATTCATTTATTTGAGAGAAAAAGAGAGAGGAAAGGGGAGCACGAGAGGGAAAGATCATCCAGTCTGCTGTTTTACTCCCTGAGCAATTGTAATGGTCAGAGCTTTACTAGTCCAAAACAAGAAAACTCAACTCTAATCGCCATGTGAGTGGCAGGAATCCAACTATCTGAGCTCTAACCTACTGTCTCCTAGGCTCTGCATGAACAGGAAGCTGGAATTGAGAGCAGAGCGAGAATTTGAACACAGGCACTCTGATATGGGCTGTGGGCATACAAACTGGTATCTTGGCAGCCAGGTCAAGGCTTGCCCCATCACACTGATGGTTGAACCTTAATTTAGTGCTGCTGTATGTAGGCTTTTTTTTCACATAACTACTTTCAGATGCTTACAGTTTTGAATTTAAAATTCTATGTTACTGAATTTAGTTGATATACTATAAAAAAATAGGTGGGTTTTGGTGAGTTTAAAGGACTGGAAGATACCATCACCATTAACAGCAAAAGTCTGTAAGAGTAAGTACGAATAAAATATACAGAGGCCTGGAGGGAAAAGTAGTGGAACAAATGAAGTGGTGATGGGTTAGGGAGCTGAATGTAAACTTAGGGTCAGCTCAGAAAGAGCAAATGCACATCGTCATGCAGTTGTCTGCCTTCATTCCCATCTTTGTCTGCACTGGATGTGTTCCCATAGTTTCTGATAGCAACCTGATTATACTTGGGGTCATTTGTCCTTGATTCAGTTTCCATAGTTTGTTCTCTAGCCCTGTGGCCAGTTCCTAGGTAGACACTTGGTCTGTCTATTTCACCTTCTGAACTCATGGCAATGAAACTCAATCCAAAGACTTTTAGGAATTTTTAGAAAGAGCCCCTCTTTCCAGTTGGCTTTGTAAGACAAAAGCAAATGGATGTAAAGCTGCTGGCAGCTTTCTTGCCATGTAATGGTGAGATGGGATTCTAGAGAGACAGCTGTCTGGCAATAGTGTTGTCAATGCCTGACTCTGGCATTGCCAAATGTAGTGCCACCTTAGGCTTTTCACTGTTATGAACCAGTACATTTTCTTTTTGCCTGAAGCAGTTTGGCACTTAATAGTTTCATTCATCTTGAGTTCTAGCTTGTTCTGTAATCACTGCCTTCCTCATAGGAAAGTACAGTGGATTTTGAAGACAGGTGCTCCCCTAGTTACCAAAATGTTTCTTGTGTTTTTTGTTATGCATCTTCTGTAAAGAGACCAATGGAGAACAGAGAAATATAGTGATTTCTCCAACAGCTTGAACTAAAAACAACTAGGATCTTTGCAGGAAATCAGGGCAAGAGACCATATAGAAATGTCATCACTGTGGGGAAGGAACTTCATGGCTTGGATTATCATGCAGAGAATGAAATCAGATTGTCAACAACACTGTATGAAAGAAAGGGAAAATGCTTTTCTTCTTCACGCTTATTTCTGCTTTTTTATCTTCCAAATTTAAAAAAAAGTAATTTATTTTTGAAAAGAAGTTCGAGAGAGAGAGAGAGAGAAAGAGAGAGAGAGGCAGGGAGAGATAGAGATTTTCTACCCTCTGGCTTTCCAGGAACACAAGCACTTGAGCCACCTTTGCTGCCTCCCATACTCTGCATCAGCAGAAACCTGCACTTGAGAGCCAGAGTTGGGAATTGAACCCTGGCATTCCACTGAAGGGTACTGTTGTCTCAGCTACCACCTTACCTGCTAAGCTAAAAGCTCACCTAACATTTCATTCATTTACTCGATCAATTTGTAGAAGCCTAAATTCTTTGTTGGTTAACTAAAGTGACAAACTGTCAAATAATTGCCTGCAGCTACTTTATTACCAAGGGGTGCACAGTATCAAAGAAGGAGTACAACATTCATCCTGATTGAAGAATCATGTAAAGAGTCTGATGACTGGGTGGAGATGAAGGTATAAACAGGAAAATGCAAAACAGAGAAGGGTTAGTATTATGGTATCTGGATGTGCTAATTGAGTGAAGGATGCTAAAGATGTTTGCTATTGGTGAAAGAAGAAGATAATGCAGAGGGTGGGGAAGCTTTAGGAAAATATGACTTCCTTATTTTCTGGGCTCCTCCAGTGTTGGGAATTAGTTGGCTATAGGCAGTCTAAACTTTGGTGGTAGTTCAGTTGGATTGCATTTATAGCTTTTGTAAGGAAAGAGAAACAAGGAAGTATATCTAGCTTTTGGAGTTATCTTAGAAATTGTGTCATATATTTCAAGCGGAAAAACAAGGCAGATATAAGTAGGGTATTTCGTGTGCCACAACTTGCTCTCACTTGTGAGCTCCTCTAGACTTCTGCCTACTTTCTGTTTAGGCTATGTGGGCATATTTGTCTGCATTTGTGCAAGTGCAGGCACAATGTTTCTAAATTACTGTATTTAGAGGTCTTTCACTTTTGTATTGGCTCTTTTTTTGTGTACACTTTGTCAGGGAAATGTAATCTGAAGTGACACTAAATTCTGTTGGTAGCACCCTCATGAACCCACTGATGTCTGAAATTATATGATGAACGGAATGAGAATGGATTTGGGGTTGAAACAAATTGATATTAATAGGTATTCCCTAATTAATAGGTATGCAGTAACCTATAGTGTGACTTGTAATTGGAATCTTAACAATAATACCTTTTTGTCTGGGTGTCCTGTGAAAGCTGATACACATGTAACTTGAATGTCTTCAACAGGGTTGTTGCCCTGCACAATGCCACTCTGGAGTTGGGCAATGTAGCACTCTGGTCCCCAGGCTCTCCAATGATATCCACTCTGTTTTAACTTCATGATGAACATAAAATAATTCAGAATTCTTTGGGAGTAGAATCAATGGGGGCTTATGTTTGCCTTATGCTTTCTTGTTCCCAACTCTGGTTTCTGCTAGGATCTGGTTTTTCAACCTGCTGTCCATAGCATTTATTGCAGATCTAGTTCCATCTCCCTTCTTTTTCTTTTTTTTTTAAAGATTTATTTTTATTATTTTTTTTATTGGAAAGGCAGATACACAGAGAGGAGAGACAGAGAGGAAGATCTTCCATCCGATGATTCACTCCCCAAGTGAGCGCAACGGGCCGATACTATGGCGGTCCGAAGCCAGGAGCCTCTTCCGGGTCTCCCTCGCGGGTGCAGGGTCCCAAAGCTTTGGGCCGTCCTCTGCTGCTTTTCCAGGCCACAGGCAGGGAGCTGGAAGGGAAGCGGGGCTGCCAGGACTAGAACCGGCGCCCATATGGGATCCCGGGCGTGCAAGGTGAGGACCTTTAACCACTTGCGCCACCGTGCCGGGCCCTATTTCTCTTCTTTTTCCAAGCACAGCACCACAGGATAGCTGTGCAAAAGATTACACTGAAGGATGGGATAATGAAGCTAAGTTACAACATGGAATAGAGGATCTGTTAAAAAACAAAGTGTTAGCTTTACTGTTCTTTTAAATTTGTAAAAACAAATTATTTGAAGGAATTACAGAGAAAGAGAGGGAGAAGCAAAGAAAAAGAGATCTTTCATCCACTTGCTCACTCCTCAAATGGCAGCAATGACTGGAGTTGGGCCTGTCTGAAGCCAGGAGCCACCAGTTTCTTCTAGGTCTCCCGTGTGGGTGCAGAGGTCCAAGGTCTTACGCCACCCCCTGCTGCTTTCCCAGCAGGGAGCAGGATTGGAAGTGGAACAGCTGGGACATGAACCAGCACCTAAATGGGATACTGGTACCATAGGTGGAGTATTAACCTGCCTCTGGCCCCAGGACTTCTCATTAACTGTTATACTCCTCTAATTCTGGCATCCCTTACTGTCTTGGGTCCCATTCACCATGTATATTCCACCACTTCTCAGATCCTCATATTTCCAGGTGGCTTTCATACTGTTCTTCACATCTGCCATTGGAAAAGGGAAACATAATTACATAGTGCATTTAATATTCTCATGTCATACCATGCTTTGGAGTTTAGCTTTGCAAAAGTGAAAAATATTATTGGGTATCCATATAGCTTTGTATGAATCTGGTCCCTCTTGTACAATGTGAAATTGCTATAGCCTTTTCTTTTTTTATGAAATAGTAAATGTTCATCTTCTCACAGCATCTATAGAATGCTACGCCTACAGTAGACACTCATCAAATATAAGATAATGATACAATGCAAGCAATGATATTACCAACAACAAGTACATGGAATTTGTCTTTCATCTGCAGAGTATGTTGCTGTGATTCTTATATCAGAGGAAAGTTGCTAGATGGTGGCATTGTGAGATGGGGATTTCATTCATTAACTGGAAACACATTCTTAAAAGTTCAACTGGCTTGAGTTTGTACTTTTGATTGAGTTACCCATGGCATCGACAGAATTGAGCTAATTACTCCTAAAGTGAACACAACATGACAGAAACAAGGAAAAAATCTGCATGAGTTCTGGGTAAAACCTGTTTAAAGACCAAACCTTTCACACTCTGGTCTGTGGTGGGACACTGAGGTGCCTGCTTTACTCCATCAGGCCTCTGTGAGGCCTTTCCTGGCTACCTTTTCCGACTATATAACACCTGCAACTTTACCACCCCCTATGTTCCTCTTGTATTCTTTATTCTTTCCCAAAGAACTTATCGCCACTACACAGACCATGTTTATGCTGTTACTGTGTTCTTGTTTCTTCTAGGTCAATGCCAGATGGGCTGTGATTTTCTTCTATTCATTTACTGCTGTGTCCTGGAGCCTGTCTCAGAGCCAGGATTGTTCATTTAATAGGTAAATATCTGTTGGTTATTGATTGACTAACTGAGGATCTGGATTATAAAATGATAACCCATTTTATTCTGTGGTTTTCAAAGAATTGTCATGTACATCATCTTCTTGAACAAGCACCCACTTGGGAGGAAGACAGGCAAGGAAGGCAATATAAGCTCTTTGGGATGTCCAGCTTGTAAGCAATGAATCTCTGCACTTGAATCCTTCTTTTCTGACTCCAAATCTAATATCCTTGCTTGCATAAACCAAGTTATAGAAAACTAGTCTTGCTTGCATAAACATAACAGATTTTTTGGAATAAGAAGAGTGATGGGAGTGTTTTGGGCTAAGCATCGCAAGTGTCTCTGTTGTCCCATTATCCTAGTCTGAAATGCTTAGCAAAGAGGATCTTGCCTGCCAAATCGAGGACAGGTACCATATATATTGCAGCGACATGACACCAGCTGCAGTCTCCAAGGCCAAGGCTCCATGCCAAAGTTAGCAAGCCAAAGCAGATTCACAGCAAGCTTTTCATGTGCACATCTTAGCTAGCCCAATCACATTTGGGGTCCCACAGAAATGTGCAAACCCCTGAGGGTGGATGGGCTTGGGGACCTCTGCTCATAATAATAAAATTTCATGTTTGTCAAGAAACTGACAGTCACCACCTTTCTGTAACATTCATCATCCAATCCAATGTTGGCATTTTTCAAAGCCATTCTGTTGGTTGGACAAACAGGCACAAATTTGTCCATTTTATAGATGAGAAAGCCAAGGCCTGGACAGTGATGTAATTAGTTCGTAGAAGGACACCTTGTAGCCTTCAGCTAAAGATTTTTGAAGTGAAATTGATGCTTGTTTCTTTTTTACTGTCAGGATTGTTCTTCAAAGTTGAGCATGAAAAAGAATCGTCTGGAGAGTTGAAGCATCACCAGAGATGCTGGTTCAGTGATGATGGAATGTTTGCAAACCAACCATCTGACAGACGAGGCCGATGCTGCTGGCCTGGTGATTGTCACAGAGATCCTAACAAATGCTGGGATTTCTCTAGCCATTTCTCCACGTCCTTCAAATCACAGAGCTGACCTTGATTCCTGCTCTATGCTGCTCACTAACCCACTGCAGCCACATGGTTCTCCCAGATGCTGCCGAGAAGTTCAGACATGTTCCCACCTTAGGGCCTCTTTGAGTTCCCTGTGCTGGGAATACTTAGCTCTAGATATGCACACGACTCACATCCTTTCTTCCTCCAGCATTCCCAGACACCTTTGCAGTGATGCCTTTTCTGACCAAGTCCGTCCCTCACATGCTCTGTCGTTAGTTTCCACAATGTTCATCACCTTCTAATTCACGAGTAATTTTTCTTTGAAAGATTTATTTATGTGTTCAGAGCGACAGAGTAAGGGAGGGAGGGGGAGAGTTAGAGGAAAAGGGAATTGGGGAGGATAGAGAATGTGTGTGTGTGTGTGTGTGTGTGTGTGTGTGTGTGTGTGTGTGTGTGTGTTTGAGAGAGACAGAGAGAGAGAGAGAGAGAGAGAGAGAATTTTCCATCCACTGATATACTTTCTAATTGCCCACAGCAGCCATGGTTGGGTAAGAAGTGGGAAACCATCTGGGTCTCCCAATGGGTAGCAGGGCCCAAGCACTAGAACCATCACCTGCCTCCTTCATGGGTAGTATTAGTGGGGCAGTGGGGACTTGAACCGTGGGGACTGAACATCTCACATATCTGATATGAGATGATGGTGTTATATACAAGAGGTGGCTTCTGATGTGCCACAGTGTTGTCCCCTCTTCTAGGTAGTTTCTTGTTTGCTCTCTTACAAAAGTGCAAGCTGCAAGGATGAATTTTTCTTTCTTTTTTTTTTTTACTGTAACCTTAGCATATAGGTCAATTCCTGCTATACAATAAGCTTTAATATTAGTATTCTTGAATGAATGGAGGGAAGGAGTGAGTAAGGTCAAGATATTTGTAACCACATATTTTCTTATTTTTGCACAGGAATTTCATCCGTCAATGGAAAAGATCTTCTGGGACAGTTGAATATCCAGGGCCTGCAAAGACCACTGATGATCTCAAAAAGTGCATGTCCAGAATTGTGAGTTTCAAAAGGTCATCATCTTTCAGGGAGGAGGTAGCTGGGATGGGGTGCAGAGAACAGAGCAGGCACCAGGAGAGGCTACCAAGGGACATGGCAAGGCTGCAGTGCAGGCTCCTGTTTATGCTGGCCCTGGGTGGCTATGAAGGAGGACGTATGCTCAGAGAGGGGAACCTGTACAGCAGTAGCAGCCCCCTTTTTTTGTGAACATTGTCAAAAAGTTTGCTGCATAAAAAGAGGAAAACTTATCTTTATTTACTTGAGCGAAAAAAAATTTAATTTCTTACTATATTCAATTAATTATGAGAAATTTAAGAATCATAGCAGAGCACAAGAACTCACCCACTATTGACAATTGTTTGAGTTCCCTAGTTAGTGAAATAAAATACTTGGAAGGAGCTCACATGCTTTTTGTCTGCCTTCTCTGAGTCATGCCCTTTCCCAGGTTTGCCGATGGTCTACATTGTTCATCCTTTGAACAAAGACTTCTAAAAGCAGAAGCAAGCACTTGGGGAGAGTTTCAGAAAGATCAGTGCCATTTAAGAGTAACTGTCTATAAGGGAGAGAATAGCAATCTAACGTTGTTAATGACAATGTCAATTTCATTTTACACATTCTCTCGAGTTTCTAAGGATTTAAAAAAACTTTATGGTGATAAGATCTAGAGAAATGCTAACATAGGTGTATTCGATTTTATTCATTGAGTAATTGTACAGTTGAAAGAAGCCCTCGGAATGAATTAGATACATGATTGATTAATGATTAGTTTCATTTATTCCTGGTTTATGGCACTTGGGGATAAAGCTTTCCATACCATGCTTGTTTGCAGAACTCTATTTAGCAAAGCTTTGGTCTTGGTGACTGAATAAATTGGCAATTACATGCACTTTAAACAGAGGAATATTGTGTTGAATTAAACTGTACAGTGGTTTGGGTTCAGCCTAGTTTATGCTAGCAAGTCTCTTGCTTATTAAAACTGTGCCATAGCTATAAAATCTTTATATTATCTGCAGAGTTTTACTCTTTTACAAAACAATTACATTATCAGAATGGCTTCTTCGAGTGTGGAAAGAATAAGATATTAAAATATATTTGAATCGTGAATCATGTTTGATAGCCCAAGTTCTTGTCTTTGGGCTTCATTTACACATAGGACTTCATTCTGGGCAGTCCTTGCATGCCGAAAGAGGAAGAAAGATTGCTCTAGGACTCTGCAAGAAGAAAATATTTCTTTAATTGTGCAGCTTTCCCCTTATATTTCATAATTGTTTACATTCTATTTTTAAATATTTCCTTTTAAAATAAATACATTGTTAAAATGACCAGTTGGTTAAATTATTTAAATCTTTATCCTGAAGATTGGGAGCACAACTAAGTCTTTGGAGAGGCCAGAGCTTGTGTATTCTGGCCTTTGTTTCCTGGAGTGGTAGGAATAGCCACGGCTATAGGAAATTATGCTAACTTGCTGGAAAGTTACTATCTTACAGTTTCCATTGCCTTAATATATATATACATATATATTATGGCTAGCTCACTGACAATAGATTTAGGTTTTATTTAAATAAATTTTCCTTCATGTCTTGGTTTGTTCATTTATAAAACAAAATGATGAAAACACTACTTAATCTGAGCTTCTAGATTAAAGCAACAATGTGCAAAGTTTTGTGAACTATAGATGCCGTTTACTGAGTGTTGGTGTTGATCATGGGTCAGGCACTGCTCTTTTTCTTCTAGTCCTGATAACTTCTCATGAGGCAGGCTTTTTTGTTTGTTTAAAACTTTTTGCTTTCTCTGATAGAGACAGAGAGAAAGAAAAAATGTATGCTCCTATAGACTATTTCAGTCCCCAAATGCCCATAAAAATACTCAAATACTCAGCTGGGGGTTGAGGTCAGGTATCAGAAACTCATATGGGTGGCAGGGACCCAACTTCTTGAGCCATTGCTATTGCTTTCCAGGCTCTAGATTGACAGGAAGTTAGAATCAGGAGCAGGAGCTGGAATGAATCCCAGATACCGTAATGCAGAACACACAGGCACCTTAACCCACTAGGCCAAGCACTCTGAGTCAGGCACTTTTGTAGATTCACGCTCAGGATAAGGTTTTGCAGTATTAGGAGGCCTGGAGACCACTGCACTATGGTATACAATTTCCCAGAAATGTTTATAATTATGATTATGATCAAGTAAGTTTTGGAAATCTGCATATTATACAATATTGGAGAATCACAATGGCTATATATCACAGACTCCGAAAATTGTTGCTCTGAAAAATTACCCTGCCCTAATTTTGCCAAACAAAAATGTCTTGAAATAATTTGATCACAGGATGTCTTCCCCTACTTTCTCTTTTCTCCGTACAACTACTACTATTGCCCTGAATTAATGCTTTCAGGACAAACTTGATGGATTAGTTGGAACAGCGCTGTGATTTTGCAAAGGAATGTGGCACTTGTACTGGTAGGGGCAGGAGTTCTGGCATTTCAGAAACTGCAGGGCATATTGCTGGATCCTGGGCAAAGCTCTTTGGGTCCAGATGGGGTGTGGCTTTGATAGAGATGTGAATCTTCTGAAGAGGAACAGTAGCTGAGAATGGGTGGAGATATTTTAATTTATTCTGATGGACCTTGAACATTTACCACCCCTGCTGTTGTGTTAGGAATGCACCAGTGAATGAGTAAACTAGACACATACCCCCATTCTTATTAAGAAGATAAAAAAAATAAACAAAATGATTAAGTTATATGCTAGATGAAAAGGAAATTGATTCCATACCAAAATTTTGAGATTTCTGAAAGAGAAATCCTTCAAGAGTACACTCAGGCCCGACCAGGGCAGGACAATGGAAGGATCCACTAGGGAAAGAGGCAAGGGCTGCACTGCATGGAGACAGGTGCAAAACAACAGAGAAACCAACTATGTGCTAGTTAGCACCATGAAAGAGCATCTGTAAACAATTGAACAGATAAAATGCTCTTTCCTGGGAAGATCTTTTGTTGTGCTAAGTTTCAATTATTAAGGTTATGCTGAGCTTTAATACTCACATAAACCTTAAATTGGCACATTTTATGCTCTATAATATTGTATTCTCCATGAAAACTCATTCAGACTCCCCCTCCTCCCTGTCCACATGTTCTACACACATAAATTCAGAATCCTTAGCACCTGTGTCAGAAGCAGAATGTCTCTTATTCCTGGGTTAGCATATGAGAGGATAGCAAAAACCATGCGAAGGAATAAAATTAAGAAATGTTTATTTTCATGAAAAAAAGTTTTGAAATATATGTATGGTTGTTTTCATTCACACATTTCCAATGAGCTTTCGAAGATCCCTTGGATGTGTGGATTTAAAAGTAAAACCTATCTTTTGAGTGTAGTGACCATGGATTTTTACGACTCTCCTAAGTGCTCACACACACACACACACCTTTTTTTCTGAGAAGGGAAGAGATAGAGGATGGTGGAATGGGATGGGATCTGCTAGTTCATTTCTGAAATGCCCATATGGCTAAATTTGGATGGATCTGAATCTGGGAGCAGTGATGATGTAGTTGACAGGAATACAATCATTTGAGCTGTCAAATTTGCTTCCTAAGGTCTGCATTGTTGGGAAGCTGGAGTTAGAAGCCAGAACTAGGAATCAAACCCAGGTGTTTTGATGCAGTTGTGGGTACCTTAACTGCTAAGCTAAATGTCCATCTCTCTGCTCATGTTTTAATAGTAGACTTGACATAAACAACAATAGCAGGATGATTGTAAAGACAAAAATATTGAACTTTGGCTACACCAATTTTCTTGTTCCATTGGTCTGTTGACCTTATTCCATTTGTGTTTGAAATTTATAGCAAGAAACAAAGTGTCATATTTTTGTTTGGCAAATGAAAATTTTGATTTGTACATGACAAGTTTGGTTAAATTTGAATGGTATCTTTTAAGATAAAAAGTTTATCTAAAATATTTTAATAATTATTGGATAATTAAATAATTAATGTTAAATTAATGTTAGTTTCTGAGGCAAGTAATATGTAGTTTAAAATTTTTCCTCTTTTTGTTGAGAAAGGCATGATTATGATAAAAATCACTAATCCATGGCTTTGATTCACTGTTTGTACTACAGTGCTAGCTTTAGTTTTTCTCTGTTCATTGCTTAAAAATCTTATGGGACACTGTGAATATGAAAATCATTTAAAGAAAAATTTCACTGTATTTATCTTCTGGTCATTATTATTATTAATTTACGATTAACACTGGAATTTTGTGGTTAGGAGAAGAGGAACAAATGACCAGTGCTGTTTTTGGTCAAATTTTTGTCAAATATTCTGGTTATATTATTGGACTTAAATGTGATTAAGATTTCCTTTTGGGATGTTAGATTTATCTGCCCAGCTAATCATCTGCTTTATGACAGGGCTAATAACTTTTAACCAGACATTTCTTTATTGTACTTAGTCTAACAATGTTATCTAACCATGTTCCATCTTTCTAGAATATGTCTAACAAGAGAGAAATCTTGAAATTGGCTTTCCCAGGAGTCTCATCTTTTGTATTGAGTTTGAAATAAAATCTGGATGAGAATTAAACTAATTAGTTTGAAAAGTTGCTTTGGCATATGTGAGACAAGAGCTATGATTAACAAATAAACAAAAAACAGCAAGGCGAGGGCATTTTGAAGGATTGAGTGGGAATTGCTGGGTTGTGATTTAGTGTTATTAGAGTAAGTTTAGCGGAGCAGCTCTAACAAAAGGTAACAATGGTGACAAAGTTCACCAAGTGGATATGAGGCAAAGAGCATTCCAGACCGAGGGAATAGTACGTGCAAATGCCCCATGGTACAGAATTGCTGGTAAGTGTGAAACGATAGCAAGACGCCGGTGTGGTAGATGTGGAGGGAATGAAGGGTGTGTAGGAGACAATGGCAGAGAGGCCTTTGTGGGTTATGGTAAAGATTGCACACGTCTTGTCTCAGATGTCATTCTCCTAAATAAGACCTTGTTG